TGTAAAAAATTGAAATATAATAGAAATGAATGTCTGTATGATTAAAAAAAAAAGACAAAAACGTGACTAGTTCTAATTGTGGCCTGCTGTGGCTCTCTAAAATGTGCACAGCCCCATTCAAATGCTAAATTTTTCTTTTTCCATTTAAAAAATTGTGACAAATCAAAATGTTGTACCTATATGTTGTGCCATTAACACAACTTAATTCACCAGAAAAGCAAACACAACAATGACAAGACAAGACTGGAACAAGGTCAGAGAAACTGCAAAGAAGTTGAAAGCAAAACAGAAAAGCTTTTTTAATAAACATAAGTTTAGAGCTCTACATGTGTCTGCAATCCTCTCCCCACCAGGTCTGAATTGAGCAGCAGAACTCTTGTCTCTCATATGAAACCTCTAGATGTGACTAAAATGTCCAAAAATCTTGTGAGAAATTCTGTTTTTGAGCTATCTTTCCAAATAACATGTTTGGTACAAAAAAAAAAACCCCAAAACAAAACAAACAAACAAAAAAACTGAATTTCTGAGAAAGAACATCACACCCACCATCGTGCTCTGGGGTTACTTTTCTCCAGATGGGGGTGAGGTGCTTCTGCAGTGAACAAAATTTTGAATATTTCCAAGTTTCAGTAGATTTTGCTGAATCTTCAGTTGTTTTCTAGAAAGCAGAAGACGAGGAGGAAATTTCATTTTTCAGTATCGCAGTGAGTTTATGCAAGTTTCTCAATTGTTAAAAGAAAATTAAAAGAATTAAAAGTTTTGGATTCAAACTAAATTGAAAAATTTTACTTTTTGACTTCATTTTTTTGTTTGTTTGTTTCCTATTTTCTTTTTACCTGCACAGAAAACAAACAGAATATCGCCATATGACAAAGCCACTGCCATCTCCTTACCCTGAGCTGACAAATATGCCACCATATTTACACCCTGTTGGAGTACAAGTCAATTATTAGAGCTAATCACTTTTTCCTTATGTAATCCAGACCTCATGAAGAAACAAATGCATGAAAATCCATCTTGTGAAAGACACAAGGGACAGAGCAGAGACACAACTGTGTCAACACATGATTCCAACAGCAACTACTTTATTTAAATTGTTAGAACTTTCAAACAAAAGCAGACATCTGTACCTCATGGGCTGCCATCTGCTTGTTTTTAGATGTTAGTAATTCTTCCTTCAATTATTTACTCTTGACTTTATCAAGATGAATAGCTACATTGTTATTAAAATTGTATCTCAATAAGAGTGATAAAGAGGGGGAAACTGCAAGTGATTAAATTTGATAAACATTTGTTTTGACAGAAGGGTTTTGATTTGCCTTCCCACGTTAAAATATTGCCTTGTGACTTCAGCCATCAGAGACGGTGGGAGAGGAAGTTACTCCATCGTAGTTCAGCAGTCCAGAACCCTCTTATTAAAGCAGCACAAAAGACTAATTATATCTGCAGTGCCTTGATTTACATGCAATTAAAGTTTCATGTGAACCCAGATAAAGCAGACGAAGGGGTAGGAGGAGGTGGTGACAGGCTAGAAGAGGTGGTGGTGGTGGTGGGATGAAGACGAGACAAGATTAAAGAACACAAGAGCCACTGAAGCAGATTTCTTAATGCCGTAAGAAAGGGAAAGAAAGAAAGTTGTTGACAGCAAGAGGTGATGAGAAAAGAATAGATGGGGGAAAGACCAGAGAGGAGAGGACATGTGAGGCAAGCCATGATTTGGCAAGAGAAGTGATGACCCAGCACATCCATCTCAGTGGCAGGTGACTGCTGTTGCTCCTTTAGAGGCGGTAGGGAGGAGAGAGCTCTGTCTCACTGCCACAATGTCAACACACTACACCCAGTCAGGCTGGTCAGTCCATAAATACTGTTTATTTTATCACCTGAAGCATGCATTTATTGAAATGACACCGCAAACTATGGTATTAGGCATGCACACTTTGTTGAACTCTATCTTCGGTGATGTGCGTTATTTTATCAGTCAAATAAAACAAAACACGCAATGCAAGAGCAAAGAAACATGTTCCCTCTCCCAGACTGTGAGAACAAAAGAACGGGATTCTGATCTCACAGCTCCTGTTTGGAGAGTTTTGTTTCCCCCATCTGCAGTGTCCAACAAACTCTGTAATTGAAATATGAAATATATGTTTAATGTGTCGGTGTGGTTACTACACTGACAGACGCTGCTGTGCAGGAGATGAATGACAACTTTGCAAAGTTCTCTGCAAGCACTTGAGATTCTTGCGAAGTCTAAAATGTCCTGAACAAGAAGAACATTGTTTTTGTTCTTGCCACCTCAAGTAAGAGAACAAATGCTTCCATTTTGTGTTTTTCACTTTGATCCCATATTTATTAAGTATTTAGAAAAACTACCAACTCAAAAACAAACCGATCTGTCAGATTTTTTTCTAATGGACATAAAGATTTAGACATGTTATGACACAAACAAGGATCCTTTTTACACTTCTCTGCAAGTGTCTTTTTCGGGTTCTCTTTCTTAATGAATGTTTATGTATGTAAGTGAGCAACACACTACCTCATAATTTCTTCGGGATTAATAAAGTACCATCTAACCTTATCAACGGTGGGCCTCATCCTTGTTCTAAAGTACTCACAGGTGGCCCAGTGAGTCACTGACATAGCTGGATAGACCAATAATCCCAAATGTCAGACACAGCTACAATGGCAGATTGTTACAATTACATGCACATGGTGAATTATGTAAATTATTAGGCATCTAATTTTGAATGACTAAATTTGATGTCAGGGACAAAAAAAAATCCTAAGTGAGACATTGTTATGGTAAATGGTTTTTTGGTGATTGAGTTGTACCGTGGATTACTCCAGATTAGGTTTCTTTCATCTTCAGTCATTTATATTTGATACTGCTATTATGCAACTTTTGGTGTGGTAATGTGACCAAATATGAGCTATTTTTATGCTTTAATATCAAACCTGTACTTTATTTTTCCTGTTGCTAAAGCTGTTCTGTAGCCGAGACCCGATTCCTCAGCATCCAGATTTGGTTATGTAACACTGTAGTTTGTAAGTCAGTAATCGTACCCTGGAGCTTCTTGATATTTCCATTTGAAGGCACTGCTCCGTGAGAAGGTAATGTGATGGATGCATCTTGACGAGGAACAAAACAGTCAAGCGAAATGGGAGGGAACCCAGAAGAGTGAAACATGTGAGAGTGAAAACAAAGGTTTCAGCATTGCAGAGTCCAGCAACCTAGTGTCCAGATATTGCAACATTAAAAAAAATGCCTGTGATCCTAAACATACAAAAGCAGGCTTCCCATATCTATGGATATGTGTCATTTGATGATCATTAACGCGTCAGCCAGACATGCCAACTGTTTCCGGGTGAGCTTCTCAAAGCCCCAGGTCGTAAATAACGCCCAGAAACCAACAATAGCTGGATGAGGGGGGAAGGCGTAATAACAACAAAAGCAATAAAAGGAAACCCATTTTCCCAGCTGTGATCTCTAGCTTCTGTACAGACAGTCATTGTGTGTATATGTGCCCACTCAGCCCACAAGTGAGTCACATCATTTTATCAATCACCCACTTACACTTAAACCCATAATGCTTTATTGTAATGACAGAACCACCCAACAAAGTTACAACAGACTCATAATAAACATTTAACACATCTACACTCGCAAGCAGAATATTAGTATGTGCAGTTATTGTTTTACGTAGGCAGAAAAAAAACTAACCTGGACAAACTGAGACTAAATATAAAAATAGGGTACGTTTTCCCCTTAGTTTACGATCAAACTTAGCCAAGGCTGTTCTCTGTGGGATGAAAGTGAAAAGCTGCTCAGGTTGAGAGAAGTGAATGACACCAGTATGTCATCTGCTCCTTTTCTTTCCAGTGAAAAGGATCCAGCTGGCTTGCATGTCAATTGATTCATTGCACCTTCCAAATAGATGTACAGCTGGAGGCGCTCCAGGGATGGCGTGCAAACGCACACACACACACACCCCCCCACACACACACACCCCACACACACACACACCCACACACACACCACACACACACACACTCCCCTATTATACAATATTCTAAGCATGCTTCTACAACACCATCACATGCATATTTATTTAATTTTACTGGTGGACCTAAATAATCTGAAAAATAATCAAAAAATTTGATTCAAGAATTAATTTCAAAGAATTAAAAAGGACTTTTATGACAGAAATGATGGCATACTGAAAAGTATATCGATGTTTTGTACAGTCTATGCACTCAGTAGTTGGTGGGGAACATTTTACATAAGTTATTGCTCTAAAGCAGCATTTAAGCCTCTGCTGAGGTGTTAAGGAAGTCCAGGTTGCTTCAATAGTGGCCTGAAGCGTTGTTGTTCTGGTGTCTCTTATCTTCGTTTTGATTATATCCAATATGGCATTTAAAGAACAGCAATGTTATGGGCATTAAACAAAGCAATCGTACTTATTGCAGTAAGGGCAGATGCCAAGTAGGCTTGGAAATGAAATCAGCATTTCCATGAAGTCAGCAGAGAGAGAAACATGAAGTGCTTTAATTTTCTCTGGCTTGGAGTCAATAAAACAAAGTGGAAAATATCAGCAGATGGTTCCCCAAATCATCACTGACTGTGGAAACTTTACTTAAACAACTTAAGGTCTGGAATAAAGATAAATAGGAATAAATACTTTAAATAGGTTAAGTACATTTTAAATAACCTTTAGAATGTTTCAACCTAGTGATATTCCTCTGTATTGTTAGCAATATATTTGCACAAAAAACTTAACATATACACACACGTTCACACAACACATTTGGTATTATTAATGCTAATGAAACCTGTGTTCTGTTTCATGTTTCTTAAATCAATTTATCTTTCACTGGGTTTAAGAACATGCCTGGTTTTGCTCTAATGGCCTTGAAACACTAAAGAAGGTACATTTAAATGAAAAGCCTCAAACATTTTAATATATTTGTATACAGAGATAATCAAATTTGAATACATTACTTACAAGAGCTCCTTTGGCTTCCATCTCTTGCACCAGGTGAGGTGGACATCCCGGCAGGATGCTGCTGTTAGTCCTTGCCAGAAAACCAAACTGGAGGGATGGGAAGACTAACAGCACAAGTATTGTACACCACAAACTCCACCGATCACGACAGATCCTGCCCACCACGCATCCTCGCTGTGTCTTTCAGTCAGTGCACATGCTCCTCGGTACAAAAGATGGTCATGCGCACATTCTCGCATGGATTAACTCACAAAACCCTTGTTGCAAACTGGAGAGCTGGGCGTTTTCAAAGAATGCTGGTCGCCCCGAAAGACAAGACACGTGCATGTATGGATCGAGACTGCACCAGCGTCTGCTCCAGTGTGGGGACCGCTGAGGTTGAGGAGGGGAGAGACAGAGAGTGAGAAGGAGAGGTGCAAAGACTGCTGGAGTGTACCACTGGCTGCTGCTGAGGGAGGGAGGATGTAAAAGAGGTGGAGAAAAGGGGGTGCACATCAGGAGGAAAAGAAATAAAGAGTTGAAATGTGCTCTGAAACTCTATTGCTGTTGCTATTTTATGACTGACTGGTTTGAGGTGCAAGTTATTTTCACAAATGATAAAGTTGATTCAGTGTGACAATGTTCAAAAAACAAACATACACAAAAAAAAAAACAACTCTTGTTCCACAAGGTTAAATTTGTTTCTGCACACTCAGCTGCATTTAAACAGCCTTGCACACGGAGCACAGCACCAGCACTGAAATACACTCGTGCACACACCCACTCTGTGTGCCTCCACTGCCTGAGGGGGGGACATTATAATCCTCCTCATTAGCATGATGCTGTGAAGAGCAACATATATCCACCTTGCTTTGTCTCTCTCATATGCCCTCATCTCCTCCTTCAAATGCAAGTCAAGTACAGGAGTCAAAGACAAAGCTCACGCTGGTCTGACTTTGACAGCTTCTTTCTTTATATCATTGTGGCTTTTCAAAATGTTTGTATGAAGCTAAACTTTACAAAACCATACAAGTACCATTTGAGGAAAGTAAAAAAAAAATTTTATTAAAAAGGCGCAAAATAGAACTAAATCTCACAAAGTCCTTCATCTTGTAAAACCATAAAATAATTTAAATAGTCAAGAGGCAGGTTAAAAAAATAAATTAAACAAACCTGGCAGCCACTGTCAATAGGTTTTGGATGCAGCTGCACAAATCAAGCTGCAGGCGATCCAAAGGAAATATCATAGGGCCCCTAATTAGCTGAGGTTGATTATAAGTGTGCTGCAGAGTGAGCTGTAGGAGGGGTGAGCGATCCACACTGGACTTGAGGAAGAAATTTTGTAGCATGCCAATGTATGTGTGAAGACCTATTATTAAGCAGATAATTTGAGTTCTGATGTAGAGCCTGACAGCTCATTAGAAATAACAGCACTAATCAGGAAGACAATTGTATGTTGCTCAGCAACAGCTTAAAACTGCTGGTTATGACAACCTCACATAATTCTCAAACCAAAAAAAATGTAATAAATAAAAACAAAAACAGTTTCTACTGTGAAAACTCTGATGCTTTGCTGTTGCTTTGACCTCAATAGATGGAGTTTAGAAATAAAGGTGCATTTCAAAATTAAAAACATCACTAGGAAATTATTTATATTACCATTTACATTTAAAATGTAAAACTCCTATTGATTACACATAGATATATTTCAATTGTGTAGTGATTATACCTCAGAGCTAATAAAACACAGCATTCTGTTTTATGTTAAGTAAATAAAAATAGATTATAATGCAAAAAGACCAACAGAGTTGCATTGCTATCTACAGAGGGTCATATCCAAGGATTGAAATGGGAAGTTGAGTGGAAGGAAAAGTCACCTTCCTTGCTCACAACCATAACCTTTTGATGATTCATTTTACTTGAAATTGATTTCTCCAGCTCTAGTTCTCCAGCTCTAGTGGCCTTTATTTAAATCCTGACTAAGCAGAAAAATTAGTTTTGAGAGAAAGGGACGACATGAAGACAAGTGGAAGAGGTCATCAGGATGGTACTGGTACCTGTGACATCCACATTGAGAACTGAGAATTTTGGTCTAAAAAATATGCAGGTGAGAATTTGAACCCTGCAGCACTTGTAATATGTATCTAAATGATGCATGCTGTGCAAAAGGAAATGAAGAATCAGAATTACTGCATTTCCATAATGATTCTCACTTCCTCCTTTTAACTGTGGAAGCACTGAAAGAGTGTAAAATAACTGGTACTGCAGTGCAACTCCATACAGCTGTTATCCTATGTATGTCAAAACATTCATGAATCCTTTAACACATCCTGGGGAGTGTATTAAAAAAAACTCCACAAAATGTAATCCTATATTGTGTATTGTTATTTATTAACACCCTTTCTTATAAAAACAAAAAAACAACCCGTCTGGACATTTAAAACTTTGTTAGATGAACCATGTCAAGTTTCTGCAGACTGAACAAAATGCAAACAAAACATCCAGAGATCCATGATAAAATGACAGATCAGAATTTTAGCAAAGACAGAAGAAAAAAAATATATAGTTGCCTTGGAAACATATACTCTCCTTCGTGTTTTATGTAATTATGCAGAAATTTAGCAAGATTATTCAGGCGACTTAAACTTTTCAACTCTTGTGTCCAAATGAAAACTGGTCTGTGGAGTTCCTATATATTTTGAAGATTTTCTTGGCACAAGTAACTCTTACTGATATGGAAGGGGAAAACATGCAGCAAATGGTCCTGAGGTCAGGAATCAAATCCAGCACAAAGCATCAAGGACTAAAGCCTCTGAACATGGTACACCTTGCTTCAGCTCAGACACCTTGCTGAGCTGAAGCAAGGGCATCATCAGCAGGACTTTTATTGTCCTACTAATGTTGCGGTTGTCAAATTCCAGTCTTCAAGGGACAATGTCCTGCAGTTTTCAGATGTGCCACAGGTACAAAAACGCTGGAATGAAATGGAGTTTGACACCCGTGTGTTAGACTCTTCCCATCAGCCTCCCTGATGGGAAGAGTGCAGCTGGTTAGCATGTCCCCATGCTTATTGCTCACCCAAGTCTTTTTGCTCTTTGTTCTCATAATGTCATGGGTCCTGGGAGCTCACCCAGGACCCATGACGGTCCTGGGTGAGCTCCTCCTTCTACTCCTTCTACTCCCAAACTAAGTTTAGCTTCATATTCTTGTCTAGGTTGTGTGAGGAGTCCTTTAAACAGAAACACTCGCCAGCTAAATCTGACCCTTCTTCAAACATCCTTTCAGAATTTTTAAGAGCTCCAGCCTGCCATCATTTACATGGATAACAGCTGCTACAGGCAATAATCTGACCTGTGCCACTACCCTTGATATCACTTTGAATTTCCCCATTTCATGCAACAGGGAGCCTGTTTGACACAGACCTTGAAAAATCCCGGTCTCTTAGAAATGGCTTGATTTTTCTCCCCCCTGATATTCTGTCCCTTCAAAAGTGGCCCAGCTGCTGCCATGGCGAATTATTCCTCTCCTAAGGTTTCTTTTTCCCAAGATGGCATAGAGCTGCAACCACAGGGGGAACTTTGTTGTGCAAATTCGATCGCACATCTGAGTAAAGAACATAGAGCCGACATTACAAGACAAACGTCTCTTTTTGTAAAGATCACATTAGAGATCAGAATAACAATTAAACACAAATTTCCTGAAAATACAAACACTTTCTACAAGCACTAATACACGTATAACAAGAATTGATCAACAGAAGCAAATACTTCTGCCTTGACATCCTGAAATAATGACTAAACAATGCAGCTTAACTCCATGTCTTCTCTGCATATTATTGAAGTTATGCAGATGAAAAAATATCATTTCTGTAATCTAGTACCTTTGAATTAACTCTGTCAAACACCTTTGTGTTTTAAATTGCTGTAGTCATTTGTCTTCATTATTTATAAAACTATAATAGGATGGCTAACATTACAATTTATGGAACTAACACACACATCCCCCAGTTTTCACCTTTCACCTTGCACCAGTAACTCAATAATGGGTGATAATGTAATACCTGTTAATGCAATAATTTTGATCACATTAACTGCAATAGAGCTCACAGTGTGATAATATCCTACCAGTAATCCAATAAAGCTTTTAAGATAATATAATCTCGCCTTTCATGGAAGCAGTAATTGACTAGCTGTCATATTATTGACACAATATTGAAAATAAATAAATAAATAAATCACTCTTTGAACATGAAATAACTGCATCTGGTGATGAAATAATAAGAAATAGGATGGCATTTCCTCGACTCAATATATTTATTTATTTTTTGCACTTTTTGTATATCTTGTTTAGTAAAGGATACTATTGGATGAAATAGTCCTCATATTCAAACTGGATCCAAGGTTCTAATCTCCTTTGGACTGGCTTTGAATAAACATGACCGAAATTGAGCAACTGGCAAATAAAAATCTGTGTTTTCTGTTAATTCAGCCCATTGTCCTTAAGTGCCTATTAACTATCCCTGCAAACCAGGTGCCTCTCATTTGTGCTCTGTGCTGAGAGACAGGATAAAATGTGGACACTCACAGAATAGATGGACCTTACTGCTCTACAGGGATCAGAATGAGTAGCAGCAGTGTGGGAAAAAAATGACTTTGAATGAAAGTGAGAACAAAAATTGTCATCCTTTATTCTGTGTGACCAGAATAATCCGTCAGGCTCAAAACTCTTGGTGATTTTCCAGTCAGTGTAACAAAAGCAAACACAAATGTTTTTCATATTTTACCAGATATGGACCATGAATGAGTCTGCTTTTAAAAAATGTTTTTTTCCCGTGAGATAGACAGATGATGCCTCTCGGATGAACCCTAGTATCACCCAATAGCAACTTAGGTGATGGATGGATGAATTCATCTGAAACAAAAATGAAGAGTTTCTTCTAAAGAAAAATGACTCCCTCTTGTGGCTTGTTTTGGAAGTTGCAGTTTACCCTGGCTCACTAACTTTTACTTTTAACCTAGAAATCATCTGACATAGCTGGTAGAGGTTTGGTAAGACACAACTGGAGCATTTAGCTCATCTGAGCAACACTGAAACACATCAATGATGCAATTAGTGTGTATGGAATTTCTAAATGTGTGATTTAAAAATAATAAAATAGATGACACAATACCTATCCTTTTAGAGTACATCAGTCACAAAAGAAATAGTCCTAAACGTGGAAAAATGCGTTAACGAAAATTAAAAAAAATGCATTTATCATTTGTCTTCAACTTTGCAAACCATCTGTACAACTTAGCTGTGAGAAAAAAATTGTTTTCATTTTTATAACAAAAAAAAGCAACCGTATGAACTTTCAGACATTTACAACTTTATATCTGTAATTTGAACTCCCTTTGCTCTTTTCCA